ACCTGAACCCTACAAGGGGAGGATGTAGGACGACTGTTCCTCCTCACCCCAGAAGAAACACCCGGACCCCACCACCTTTGAGATGTCAAAGGTGTTCCCCCTCAAGCAACACCCACACCTGGTTGTCCCCTGTGTCCCCTGCTGACTGTCATTGTCAACTCCATGACCCTACTGGAGAAGAAACCCCTGCAGAGGCAACACCTCAACCCTACAATGGGAGGATGTAGGATGACTGTTCCTCCTCACCCCAGAAGAAACACCCGGACCCCACCACTTAGGAGATGTCAAAGGTGTTCCCCTCCAAGCAACACCCACACCTGGTTGTCCCCTGTGTCCCCTGCTGACTGTCATTGTCAACTCCATGACCCTACTGGAGAAGAAACCCCTGCAGAGGCAACACCTCAACCCTACAAGGGGGAGGGAACAACTGTAGGAGATGGAATGACTGTAGGGGATGTGGAATGACTGTAGGAGATGGCTGTAAGAGTGGTGGGATGGCTGTAGGGGACGGCTGTAGGAGCTGGGACGGCTGTAGGGGATGTGGAATGACTGTAAGAGTGGTGGGATGGCTGTAGGGGACGGCTGTAGGAGCTGGGACGGCTGTAGGAGGGACAGGATGACTGTAGGGGAGCTTAGGGGGGGGCTTTCCATATCGTTAACTCAGCCCTTGCTCTCTTTCCCCCTCCCCTAATTAAGACCCATCCTTCTCCACCCCACACCCCACAGTTTTCCGCCTGACAACAGTCAGAGGGCGGGTGCCCCCCGGACCCCTGGGGGGAGGGGGGGGGGGGGGGCCCAGCCAGAGCCGAGGTCCCCCCCTGGGTTAAGACAAAGAGACGCGTTAAAAAATAAATTAATTAATAAGGCCAAGAGGCTCCGCCCTCCCTGCCCAGCCCCACCCACCGACCCCACCCCACTTAGCTCCACCCCTCGGCAAATAGCCCCGCCCCTCTGCTCTTAGCCCCGCCCTCCACGGGGGGGAGTGTCACTTATAGAGGAGATGGACGCGGCTCCCGTCGCAGTTGCCCCGGCCGAGCTTGTCGGCCTGTTCGGAGACCAGGCAGCGGACCAGGGGCAGGTTGGGTTGGTAGAAGGGGGCGGGGCCTGAGGGGGCGGAGCTTAACCCCGGGGAGAAATGGTTGTCAGCCTCCCGGGAGGGGTTGGACGACCGTCGGCGGGAGCGGAGCTGCTGGCGGTCCTGGAGCTGCTGGCGGAGCTCCGACACGCGTTCCTCCTTCTGCCGGGTGACAAATTTGGGGGGGGTGAGGGGGGTTAAGGTGTCAGATACCACCCCCTTAACGGTGTCACCCCTCCCACATCACCACCGCCCCACACACACCAACCCCCATTGAGGTGGTGGCGCCTCGAAGATGATCCACCCCTCTTGGTATAGGTTGAAGGTACAACCCTGAAGCTACAACCCAACTCTGGGGGAGGTGGCCACCCCCAAACCACACTTTTTTGGGGTTTCCCCCCCCCACCCCCACCTTGGTCCCTCCCACATCTTTGTTTCTCCACCCCCAACACCCACCTCAGCGATGATTTTCTCCAGCTCCCGGTTCTCCTTCTCCAAGAGGCGGGATTTCTCCTCCTCGTTGTTGTTGGTGGAGGAGCCCGTCTTCATGGTGTCCTGCTGCTCCGACTGCCACTCCCCTCGGGTGATGAGGCGGCGCATCTGCAACGGTCACCGGTTGTCAACGGTGTCCCCCCAGCAAGCAACACCCACACCTGGTTGTCCCCTGTGTCCCCTGCTGACTGCCATCACCAATTCCATGACCCTACTGGAGAAGAAACCTCTGCAGAGGCAACACCTTGACCCTACAAAGGGAGGACGTAGGACGACTGTTCCTCCTCACCCTAGAAGAAACACCTGGACCCCACCACCTTGGAGATGTCAAAGGTGTTCCCCCTCAAGCAACACCCACACCCGGTTGTCCCCTGTGTCCCCTGCTGACTGCCATCACCAATTCCATGACCCTACTGGAGAAGAAACCTCTGCAGAGGCAACAGCTCATGCCTACAAGGGGAGGACGTAGGACAACTGTTCCTCCTCACCCTAGAAGAAACACCTGGACCCCACCACCTTGGAGATGTCAAAGGTGTTCTCCCTCAAGCAACACCCACACCCGGTTGTCCCCCTGCTGACTGTCATCGCCAACTCCATGACCCTACTGGAGAAGAAGCCTCCATGTCTGTAGAGGCAACACCTCGACCCTACAAGGGGAGGACGTAGGACGACTGTTCCTCCCCATCCCAGAAGAAACACCCAGACCCCACCACCTTGGAGATGTCAAAGGTGTTCCCCCTCAAGCAACACCCACACCTGGTTGTCCCCTGTGTCCCCTGCTGACTGTCATTGTCAACTCCATGACCCTACTGGAGAAGAAACCCCTGCAGAGGCAACACCTCAACCCTACAAGGGGAGGATGTAGGATGACTGTTCCTCCCCACCCCAGAAGAAACACCCACACCCCACCACCTTGGAGATGTCAAAGGTGTTCCCCCTCAAGCAACACCCACACCCAGTTGTCCCCTGTATTCCCTGCCATCTGTCATCGTCAACTCCGTGACCCTACTGGAGAAGAAGCCACCATGTCTGTAGAGGCAACACCTCGACCCTACAAGGGGAGGATGTAGGATGACTGTTCCTCCTTACCCCAGAAGAAACACCCGGACCCCACCACTTAGGAGATGTCAAAGGTGTTCCCCTCCAAGCAACACCCACACCTGGTTGTCCCCTGTGTCCCCTGCTGACTGTCATTGTCAACTCCATGACCCTACTGGAGAAGAAACCCCTGCAGAGGCAACACCTCAACCCTACAAGGGGAGGATGTAGGACGACTGTTCCTCCTCACCCCAGAAGAAACACCCGGACCCCACCACCTTTGAGATGTCAAAGGTGTTCCCCCTCAAGAAACACCCACACCCAGTTGTCCCCTGTATTCCCTGCCATCTGTCATCGTCAACTCCGTGACCCTACTGGAGAAGAAGCCATGGCAACACCTCGACCCTACAAGGGGAGGACATAGGACAACTGTTCCTCCCCACCCCAGAAGAAACACCCACACCCCACCACCCCCTTCCCCACCGGTACCTTGGGGACGAAGAGGACGACCAAGGTGATGTAGGAGGAGAAGACGACGGCCAACGAGGCGAAGGCGAAGGCCGCGTCCTGTTGGCTGCTGAGGATCATGGTGACGGGCGCCGTGATGAGGCAGAGGACCTGTGGGGAGGAAGGGTGATGGTTTTTTTGGGGGTGGGTCACCATATGGGATGTGGGGTGAAGATGAGGGGGGCGCACAGCCATCCTGACTTACAGCCACGTTGTAGATGGCCATGCCCACTGCTCGGTGGTCATTGATCTTCTCCGTGGACACGCTCTTGGTCTCGTAGGCCAGGAAGATTCCCAGCAGCAGCAGCAACCCCTTGAAGCCGTAAAATATCCCTGGGGGGGGGACAACCAAGGGTGGTCAAAGAGGGATTACCACCTGGTCTGGTGGAGAACCACGGGTGGTCAAACAGGGGCCTTCACCTGGTCTGGGGTGGAGGGGAACCTTGGATGGTCAAATGAGGATCCCCAACTGGTTTGGGGTGAGGGAACCGTGGGCGGTCAAAAGGGGACCCCCACCCAGTCTGAGGAGAACCATGGGTGGTCAAATGGGAACCTCCACTGGGCCTGGGATGGGAGGAACCATGGGTGGTCAACTAGGGACCTTCACCTGGTCTGGAGTGTGAGGAACCATGAGTGGTCAAAGAGGGGCCTTCACCTGTCTCCCATGGGTTCCTGAGTCTTCCCTTGACTCTTTACAACATGTCTGTGCCCCCCAACCTTGCCTATACCCTCCAGTCTTGCCTGTACCCCCCAAGTCCTGCCCCACACCCTCAGCCGTGCCCACCTCCCACCCCTCTGGCCCCCCCCTTGCCCACCGAGCCAGGTGTTCATCTTGGTGGAGCTGCAGTGCTCCAGCTGGGGCAGGATGGAGACGTCCGTGTCCGTCTTGGGCTCTTCCTTGGTGAACTCCTGGGGGGGGGGGGACAGGGTGGGGAGAGAGGGGTGTGAGGGGAGATGGGGTGGTGGTGGGGGGAGTTTTTGCTGTGGGGTCCCCCCCAGCAGCACCCCAACACCATGAGCATCCCCTCAACATCATGAGGACCACCTTAGCAGCACCCCAACACCTTGAGCATCTCCCCAATGTTGAGAGGACCCTCCCACCCAGCAGCACCTCAACACCATGGACACCCTCCCCCCAGCAGCACCCCAACACCTTGAGCAGCACCCCAACACTATGGGCACCCCCCCAGCATTGCCCCACCTCAATGGTGCGGTGCAGGGGGTCCACGATTTGCCAGATGATCAGCGTGACCACGTCCAGCCCCACAAGTAGCCCCACGGTGGCGTACAGCTTCCAAGGCTCCAGGGTCTGGGTGTGGGGACAACACAGTGTCACTGAGACCTTGTGGCAACCCCCTTCCAAGTCCTCCCATGACCCACCAGGTCATCCCTCACCTTCCTCTTCTCCTTCTTCTCCTCCTTCTTGGTGAAGACGGTGTGGACCCACCAGATCTTGGTGAACATGCTGCCGTAGGCCAGGCTGAACCCCAGCCCGAGGAGCCACAGCCGGGCCTGGGGAGGGTACAGGGGTCAGGAAGAGCTGGTTGTATCTCCCCATCCAGTTGTACCCACCTCTGCTACACCCCATGGGGTGTATCCCCCCACTCCCATGGACCTCCTTTGACCAACTCGTTTGGAGTCCCCAGTTCTACTCCCGATTGTAGGCCTCCAACTGTCCCCATCCCCTAGCTGTATCTCCAACTGTTCCTGCTCTGGTTGTCTCCATCCCCTGGCTGTATCTCCAACTGTTCCTGCTCTGGTTGTCTCCATCCCCTGGCTGTATCTCCAACTGTTCCTGCTCTGGTTGTCTCCATCCCCTGGCTGTATCTCCAACTGTTCCTGCTCTGGTTGTCTCCATCCCCTGGCTGTATCTCCAACTGTTCCTGCTCTGGTTGTCTCCATCCCCTGGCTGTATCTCCAACTGTTCCTGCTCTGGTTGTCTCCATCCCCTGGCTGTATCTCCAACTGTTCCTGCTCTGGTTGTCTCCATCCCCTGGCTGTATCTCCAACTGTTCCTGCTCTGGTTGTCTCCATCCCCTGGCTGTATCTCCAACTGTTCCTGCTCTGGTTGTCTCCATCCCCTGGCTGTATCTCCAACTGTTCCTGCTCTGGTTGTCTCCATCCCCTGGCTGTATCTCCAACTGTTCCTGCTCTGGTTGTCTCCATCCCCTGGCTGTATCTCCAACTGTTCCTGCTCTGGTTGTCTCCATCCCCTGGCTGTATCTCCAACTGTTCCTGCTCTGGTTGTCTCCATCCCCTGGCTGTATCTCCAACTGTTCCTGCTCTGGTTGTCTCCATCCCCTGGCTGTATCTCCAACTGTTCCTGCTCTGGTTGTCTCCATCCCCTGGCTGTATCTCCAACTGTTCCTGCTCTGGTTGTCTCCATCCCCTGGCTGTATCTCCAACTGTTCCTGCTCTGGTTGTCTCCATCCCCTGGCTGTATCTCCAACTGTTCCTGCTCTGGTTGTCTCCATCCCCTGGCTGTATCTCCAACTGTTCCTGCTCTGGTTGTCTCCATCCCCTGGCTGTATCTCCAACTGTTCCTGCTCTGGTTGTCTCCATCCCCTGGCTGTATCTCCAACTGTTCCTGCTCTGGTTGTCTCCATCCCCTGGCTGTATCTCCAACTGTTCCTGCTCTGGTTGTCTCCATCCCCTGGCTGTATCTCCAACTGTTCCTGCTCTGGTTGTCTCCATCACCTGGCTGTATCTCCAACTCTTCCTCCTCCAACTGTCCCTATCCCCTGGCTGTACCTTCAACTCTTCCTCCTCCTTCTGTCCCCACCCCCTGGTTGTCCCCACTCTGCCTGTCCCCCCCAACACCCCACCAGCCCCATACCTGACAGACGAAGGGGAAAAGGCCTGGCCCGATGTGGTAGCCATCAAGTCCCAGGGGGAAGACAGCAGCGAGCGCCAGGGTGCAGCCCACGGCCGTCATGTTGTTCAGGTAGGGCTGGGAGTTCTGGATGTACCTGGGGAGGAAATGAGGGGGGTTGTTGAGGAGGTGGCACGTCACCCGGTCACCGTGCTCAGCCGTCGCTGACGTGTGACGTTCAGCCAACCCAACGGGACACAAGAAACGGGGACGCAAGGTGAGATCACAGGAAACCACGTGCTACAACCCGGAGGCTTGATATCACCCGGAGCTCCTACGCAGCGAGAAACAGGCAACTGGGTTGTCTACTAACGACAACATTTTGTCACCGTCACCTTCTGTAGGAGGACACGGGAGCAGATCATCCCTTTTTTACCCCTCCGGGTGTTGCAAACCACCCAGAGCTGCTGAGCTTTTTTTTTTTTAGCAGTTATGGAAAAGGAAAGGTGTATTTCACCCAAAAAAAGGAAGAAAACGGGGAGGATCACTGACCGGACATGGCCGTTGTAGATGTTGAAGGCCAGGCAGATGATGGCCAGGAGGATGCCCAACGAGGCCAGCACCGAAACGGAGATGAAGAGCTTCTGGGACAGGAATCGGAAGGTGGTGATGACCTTGGTGTAGTCGGCTGGAGGGGCACCTCCTGCAGAGCCCAGGGCACAATTAGGGGACACGGTGGTGGGGTGTCTTCCCAACCCTTCCCCATGGCAGTGGCCCCCCCCAAGTCCCACCCCACATGAGGCGTTGCTCACCAATCCACTTGTCGTTGTTGTACCAGGACAGGTTGTCCTTGGTGCTGTCGTAGTAGCCGATCTTCTTGTAGACACCTCCTGTAAGGACAACAGAGATGGGTGAGGTGGGGGGGCAAGGAGGAGAGACACCCCTCCAGTGTTGGTGCACACCCCCACAGGATCACAGACTGGTTGGGGGGTTGGAAGGAACTTCTGGGGGCTATCTGGGGCAGCCCCATGCTCAAGCAGGACCACCCAGGGCCCATTGTCCATGACCACATCCATGGGGTGTTTGGTTGGTTCCAAGGATGGAGAGTCCACCACCTTTTGCCAGCGCTTGGTGACCTCCACCATGAAAAAGTGGTTCCTGATGTTCAGCTGGAGCCTCCTGACTCCAGTCCCTTCATCATCTTCATTGCCCTTCGCTGGATGCTCTCCAGGAGCTCTGTTGTACTGGGAAGCCCCATCATGGCAGGGGTGGCCTCATCAATGCTGAGGGGAAGCATCAACTCCTTGACCTACTCCAGCGTTCCTCCTGGTGCAGCCCAGGACACTGTTGGCCACCTTTGCCACATCACTGACTCATGGTCACCTTGGTGTCCACCAGCGTTGGCCACCTTTGCCACATGACTGACTCATGGTCACCTTGGTGTCCACCAGGACTCCGTGGGCCTTCTCTGCAAAGCTGGTTGACCCCCAGCCTCTCCTGGTGCCTGAGGTGGTTCCTGGAGCACTTCCCCTTGTTGAATCTCATGAGGTTCCTCTCAGGCCAATTCTCCAGCCTGTCAAGGTCCTTCTGGATGGAGTTGACCCCCAGCCTCTCCTGGTGCCTGGGGTGGTTCCTGGGGCACTTCCCTTGCTGAACCTCATGAGGTTCTTCTCAGGCCACTTCTCCAGCTTGTCAAGGTCCTTCTGGATGGCAGCATGAACCTCTGGCACCTCACTCGCTCCTCCCAGTTTGGTGTCATCACCAAAGTGGCTGAGGGTACTCTCTGCCCCATCATCCAAATTGTTGATGAAGATGTTGAAAAGGACTGGACCCGGTATCCACCCCTGGTGTGCACCACTGGTGATTGGCCTCCAACTGGACCTTCTGCCACTGATCTCCATCCCCTGGACCAAATCAGCCAGTTTTCAGTCCACTTCACTCATCCAACCCAGACTTCACCATCTTCACCTCTGGCACCTCACTCGCTCCTCCCAGTTTGGTGTCATCACCAAAGTGGCTGAGGGTACTCTCTGCCCCATCATCCAAATTGTTGATGAAGATGTTGAAAAGGACTGGACCCGGTATCCACCCCTGGTGTGCACCACTGGTGATTGGCCTCCAACTGGACCTTCTGCCACTGATCTCCATCCCCTGGACCAAATCAGCCAGTTTTCAGTCCACTTCACTCATCCAACCCAGACTTCACCATCTTCTCCGTGAGGATCTTCTGGGAGATAAGTGTTGAAAACCTTCCTGAAGCCAAGGTAGACAATGTCCACTGCTCTTCCCTTGTCTATCAAGCCAGCAGAAGATGGTCAAGTTGGCCAAACGTGACTTCTCCTTGATAAATCCACACACAACTACTCTCGATGACTTTTTCATCCCAAGCTCCTTGCTTGTCCCCCAAAGCTCCTCCACCTCTGGACCTTGCTCCGTCACACGCAGGAGCAGTTGTGTGTTGGTCAGGCTGCGCGTCCTGTTGGACACATGGCCAAAAAGGGTGCAGAGAAGGGGGTTGTCCCCTGTGTGTTGCCACCCCTTGAGAGGTTGTGCAGTGGTGGGACTCGTTGTGGTGCACATCTTGGGGTGGTTTTGTGCTGCCATCGTGTGGACAACGTGGCCACAACGCCGAGCTGTGGCCGTTACGCGTGAAAGGGTTTTGCAGGGTGCACGATGGTTGTCACCACGTGCAACACGGTGACAGTGTCACCCTGCTCTTCCTGGGGTCACTCACCTTGCAGCTGCTCGATGAGCGTCCAGGCCATGCGGGAACCGCTGGCGTCAAAGACGACGTGTCCCTGTGGGGTGGGATGGAGATGGGTGTTGGGGACCTGTCAGGTGGCAGCACCACGTCCCCCGAGAAGGGTTGGGAGAACGTTTTCTCTGGGACTTTTAGGGTAGCTCATAGGGACACCCTTGACAGATGCCTTCAAGGCACCTTCAGCATGACCTTGAAGGTGGAGGAGTTGAGGACATGGAGAGCTTGTTGGGGAGAAGAGGACACGCCGGGGCCAGGGACCAGCAGGGGCTCAGGTGGGGGCAACGCACCGAGACGCCCTCGAAGGCAGAGGAGTTGAGGGCCCGGTAGATCTCGTCCGTGATGTTCTTGTTGTTGTAGTTGAAGTCCTCCAGGCGCAAACCCTTCTTGACCAGCTCCGCTGAGGTCTTGTTGAGGGCCAGGGCCAGCGCCCAGATGGCATCGTAGGCCAGTGGGGCCTCCTGGAAGCCTCCTGTCTCCTCAGGATTCTTGCCCAACCGCTTCTGCAGCTTCTCAATGAACTCCTGGGACGTCTGGACCGGGGAAGAAGATGGTGGTGAAGTGGTGGGTGGGATGGAGTGGACCCCCTGGGGGTTCCATCTGGTCCCCCCATCCTCCCCATACCATGTTGGAGATGCTGCGGGTGTTCTCAGGGTTGAGCATGACGATCTCGGTGGTGACGTGACCTTCCACGGCCTCGGCCATCTCCGCCTCGGTGCAGTTGATGGCCGGGTCCTTGATGCGGAACCAGTTGTCGGCGTACCAGCCAATGAGGAACCAGACGTACTTCTTGCCGTAGAGCTTCTCCTTGTAGACCTGTGTGGGCCAAGGGGGAGCAGTCTTACCCTTCACCCCATCCTTCCCACCATCCTTCTGTCCATCACTCTTCACCCCATCCCATCCAGTCACCTGTAACTCCTCTCCTCATCATGTCCATCCAGCAGGATCTATGTCCATCCACCTTCACCCTATGCTTCTGCTCAGCCTTCCCACCATCCCACCACCCCATTTGTCCATCCTGTCCGTCCAGCTGGACCTCTCTCCATCCACTCATCACTTTATGCCTCCATTCAACCATTTCCCTTCCCATCATCCCACCTGCTTGTCCATCCATCTATCCATCCATCCATCCATCCATCTATCCATCCATCCATCCATCCATCCATCCATCCATCCATCCATCCGTTCCACCACACTCACATCTACCCACACTTCCACCCATCCACCCTAACAGCTTTCAGCCCACACAACCACACATCCCACCACCCTTCGCTCCATCCCACCCTCCCCAACTGCCCCACGTCCACCTGAAGCCCACCCACCCTTCTCCACCGCACACCATCCTCCTGCACGCCCCCCATGGTGCCCCACCACCACCACATCCCCCCTTTCCACCCCTCACCTCGCAGAAGACCTTCCGTGCCTCCGTCTCGTAGAAGAGCCCCACAATGATACGGGCGTCCTGGCGCTGGAGGAAGACAAGTCACCCTGTGGTGGGACTTCTGCTCCCCTTTGCTCCCAGTCCCACCCACCCTCATTTGCATAACTTTGCATAGGGCTGCTGAGGAGGACCAGAACCTTGGCACTGGCACAGCCAGGTCATGGATGTCGCTCCTCATCTCCTGGCTGGAGGACATTCCCCGGTGACCTGGGCATCTTGGGGTGTCTCTGCTGCCTTTGGGGGTGGCAGGACTTGGTTCCAACTGCCCCCCCAAGGGGTTGTGGGGTGCCGTGGGGGAGGACTTGGTGGGGACAAGGACAAGGACAAGGTGGGACTCACCTTGAGGTTGCGGACGGGCGCGGCGGGGTCGGAGAAGAAGCTCTGGCGGAAGGTGATCTCCAAACCGGCTTCCTTCACCCGCTGGTCCAGGTCATCCAGGGTCTGGTTGACGGGGTGGGGGGA